TTTTTTTTTTTTTTTTGGACAGAGACTTTTTTTTGCATACCATCGATTCATTGGTGTATTAATGCACTTATATTCCCAGCTTTAAGCTAACATACAGTAAATAAATACACAGTTCCAAGGAGGGAGCCGAGGGGGGGGATCGGGAGGGAAAGGGGGAGGGGGCTCGGCGAGGGGAAGGGGCCGCCGTGGTTACTGATATCCCAGTGCAGAAGCTGAAGTCAGTCTTTGGCCATAGAGAGCGTAGGGGGAGTAGTAAGGTCCGGCAGCCGGCAACGACGGCACGGGGAGAGCTCCGGCTGCGGGCAAATGGCTCTTGCCGTACGGGTGATACCTGTTGAGTCCCAGAGTGTGTGGGCTCCTCAAGGACAGGGAGGCCGGTAACGTGCTGGGGCTGCCGGGGGCGGCGGGCGGGAGGTGGAGGTGGCAGGAAGCGGCCGAACCCAACCCCGACGTGGGATAACCGGCCAAGAGTTTCTCCGCGCCCGGCAGCGCCGTGTGGGTCCGTAGGTGGGTGAGCAGCTCCTCCGAGGTGGCAAACCTCTTATCGCAGGGTCCGCTGGCAGACACCCAATTGCATATGTGGGGCAGGGGGTCGTTCTGCAGCATGAAGCCGTAGGTGTAGAGGGGGTGGCCGGGCAGGCTGGGGGTGCCGCCGGAGGAGAGCGTGGTGTGCACCGAATGCAGGGGGTGCGCGGGGTACACCAGGGGGTATCCGCTCTTCAGGCTGCCGGCGTCGTGCACGCAGCTGGAGCAGTTGCCGGAGCCCAGGTGCGAGGCGCTGTGGTAGCTCAGGCAGTACGGGTCCCGGCATAATCCCTGCATGAAGGAGGGCGGCGAGGCCCCGGTCAGCGGGCTGGAGCTCGGCGGCTTCCCCGGCAGCCCCAGCGCCCCGGGCAGCTGGCTGCCCACCAGCCCCGCTTTGCTGGGGTCCAACCCGGGCACGAACTGCGAGGGGTACCCGGCGTAGGCGCCCACGATGGAGCCGTGGTAACCGATGCTGGAAGGCGGCAGCGGGAAGACGGAGTGGCCCGGCTTGTAAGGAGACACGGGGGCCACATGGCCGGCGGCGGGCGGCAGCGCTGGGGGCTCCGATTTGCGGCCCGATGAGGGGGGTTCGCCGTGCGCCCCGGACTCCGCCGCCGCCCCGCGCCCCAAAGCCCCGCTTGCCCCGTCGGGGCCGGGCTTGCCCGCCTCGGGCTCCTTCTTGTCGTCGGCGCCCTTGGGCTCGGCGTGCTGCGGGGACGCGCCGCGGGAGCCGCCCGGGGATGCGGCGCTGTGCGGGGGGAACGGCGGGCAGGCGGCGCTGGGCACGCGGAAGCCGGCCTTGTCCGGGCCCTCCTTGCGCGGCTCCCCGCCCTTGGAGTAGGGCTTGAAGCTGGACTTGTCCTCGGGCGGAGCGTCCCCGCTGCCGCCCGGCGGTTTGAGCGCGGCGGGGCGGGCGGAGGGCTCCTTGTCGGCGGCGGGCAGCCCGGCGGAGGCGACGGCGTTCAGCTTGGAGGAGGGCGGAGGGTCGGGTTTGCCGATCTGCGAGCAGGTCTGGGCCAGCAGCGCCAGAGGGCTCTTCTTGGCGTCCAGCTGCGGGCGGAGCGCGGCGCCGGTCAGGGGGGGACCCGACGGCACCCCCCGGTCCGGCCCCCGCCCCCCCCACCCCAACCCCATCCCACGTCTCACGTCCCACCCCGGGGCCAGCGGGCGGCGAGCCAGAGCGCGGGGACGGGAAGGGAAAAGGATCGGGGAGGGAAAGGGGAGCGGGGGGAACACTGACCTCGATGGGGCTGACGGGCGTGGAGGAGAGCGGCTGGAGGTATTCGGGGTGCAGGAGGTGGCC